GGCGTGGGCATCTTCTTCGACGCGGGCCGCCGTCACCGTCGAAGAAACCGCAACAACAGCCAGCAGCAGCGGCGGTGGTTTCGGCTCGGGCGGGTTTCCTGTCAGCGGGTTTCACGACGCTTGATTCGCAGAGAGGGTACGAAGGTGGCGAGCAAGAAGATTCGCGAGGCGATGAAGCTGCGCAGGCGGAAGAGCGGCGACGTCAGGAAGATTGAGATTGGCGACGACAGCAGCGAGGAAGACGAGGACAACGAGTACACGGAGGCGAGGAAGAAGACGTAGATGTACTGTGTCTAGGGTACCACCTAGATGTGGATTCTGTAAACCGTTGGGGGACGGCCAACGAGGCAGAAGGTTAGTGGGGGGCCGCGGTATGTGGGGGAGAATTGGAGAATCAAGCGCAGACGAGGTGTCGTGTGAGATGAGACGAGACGATTCCCATTGTGTGTGGCGGGCGAGTCTAGGCGTTCGGCACGTCGAGTCGGCAGAGGGGTGAACTGCATAAAGCAGTTAATTAATGACAAGTTCCATCCATTCCGTTGTGTCGCCTGTGTCGTGTTTCGCCCTTGTCTAGGTACATGTACCTTTGGAATTTGGTCATCATGGGATGGGAGTAAGCAACCCAAATCCCACATCAGGCTGTCATGAGTAAAAAGGCTGCTGACCAATTCACGTCGACGATGCGACCTGGTGGCTGGCATTTGCTGAGCTGCGCCGCGTGCTTTCGGCAACGGGCTGCCGGGCAGGGGGTGGGAAGGGAAGATGACTGACGAAGTTTGCTGACCCTTCCGGGCCTAAGGTGGCTATGGCAAGATGGGTACCAAAGGTGGTACGTACTGCGTTATCAGATCCGATGGTCGCAACTGCCCCGCAGTCCCGAGCCGGCGCTGGAAAGACCGACTCGCCCGACGAAGCTTCCCCGAACGAGTCAGCCCAGGGGTCCCTTTTTTTCCGCTCTTTCCAATTTTGTTCCTGTATTTAGACACCCACCCGCACGGCACTCGCTCGCTTGGCCGCGGTTGCCTGTTCCTTGCTCGACCCTCGACCTCGACCCTCACCCCTCCGCGACGCCTTTTTGCTAGTTGTCCAGAACACACGGACGCCATATCCATCACCATACGACACGCCAGGTACAAGGACACAAAAATGGTCTTCGCCTCCCTCGTCGCTGGCGCAAAGCGCCTCGCCCTCGGTACCGGCGGCGCGACGCCCATGCTCGACCTCTTCCCCAAAACGGACCCCGCCGTCGACGGTGACGAGTGCTCCCACGACTGCGAGAGCTGCCACATCAAGTACCCGCGCGGCTTCAAGATTGAGACGGAGGACGCCCTCTACGGCGTGCAGAAGGGCTTCAGCACCCACCTCCTCGTCGCCACCGGCAAGACAGACTGGGTTCGGGAGATTGAGGACGAGGAGGGCAGCGTTATGGAGGCCATTGGCAAGGCTGCGGCACCAAGTAACGGGGTATGCTTCCCTGCCTGACACATTCCTCCCCCGAACTCCTTCATTGTGAGCAGCGTCTTGAGCCCCATGCTAACGGCCCAGAAACTCATGCTCTCCGCGACAAACATGCCCACGCCCCACGGCACCAGCGACTACGACCACCCCACCACCGTCCTGCTGCTGCCCGCCTTCACCATCATCGAGAACGTCACGCCGGCCAACGTGCCCGCCCTGCTGACCGAGTTTGTCGAAAAGGCGCCCACCAACACGTCGCCCCTCGAACCCCTGACCCTGCCGCGCTCCCTGCCGGCGCCCGACAGCGCCGACGCCCAGGTCGCCGCCCTTGTCCGCCGCCCGAGCCCCCACAGCGCCCTCGTGCTGCTGTGCTCGCAGAAGACGCGCGACGCCCGCTGCGGCCAGTCAGCGCCCCTCATCCGCAAGGAGCTCGAGAGGCACCTGCGGCCCCTCGGCCTCGCGCGCGACCTCGACGACCAGAGGCCCGGCGGCGTCGGCATCTACTTCATCTCCCACGTCGGCGGCCACAAGTACAGCGCCAACGTCATCGTCTACCGCAAGCCTGACGCTTTCGGCCTCGATTCCGTCCAGCGGGCCACGGCTGGGGGTGACGTCAGGCCAAAGGCTGTCGCCGCCGCGACGAACGGCGCTGCCGAGACGGAAGAGGAGGAAGAGGGAGACGTTGGCGTCGGGCAGTGCATCTGGCTCGCGCGCATCATGCCCGAGGACTGCGAGAACCTTGTCAGGTATACGATTCTGCAGGGCAAGGTCGTCAAGCCGGAAACGCAGCTGCGGGGCGGCTTTGACCGTGGGAGGGGCGTCATGAGCTGGTGAGCGAGCTGCGAGCGTGTTGTGTGTTGCTGTTGCATGTTGTCTGAGGAGCGTCATCTGTCGGGGGGGATATATACCACAATGTAGATACATAAAGTAGAGCCACAGGGCAGGCAGTAGACGCATCATGGAGCTTTGGACATTCATCGACCTTGTCATCAAGAAACGCAACGGCCATCGTCTGTTGGCTCATCCTGAATGGTGACTGGTGCAAGAGAATGGTCTTGCCTGCGTTGCATCAGGTCTGCGATCGAGGCAGTCAGTGCGAAATGTACGGTCTGTATTTTCAATGTTGAACTCAAGAGATCCGAGAACTGCACGCTTTGTGGTTTGGTGAGGAATCGCGAACGCTCCCTGAGATCATTCTGGATGTTATGCAGAGATCCATCTTCACATGCACAGATGCATCGCTTCGAACTTCCCCCGGCGGCAATGTCCGTGGCAAGGCATCTGCAGCCTCAAGATGAGTCTGGAAAGGGCCTGCCTTTGTTGTTCGAGCTCGCGAGTTAAGAGGTGAGAGCCTTCAGCGGCTCCAAGAACGAGCCCGTAGTCAGGCCCTGGCCATAGAATAATTCTTCATCCCGCTCTCTATCAGGGCTGACTAGAAATCGTCATATTTAAGAGGCAGATGGAATGTGATTGAAGATTTGGTTTGGCATGAAGATAGGAGAGCATGAAGAGAAACATGCGGCTTGGCTGGGAAGGATTCATGAACAGGGGCCCTTGTTTTCGAATTGTAAGACACTCTGTACAATGCGCTTCTCATGCTTCGGCGGGACATGTATACAAGTGCCCCGCGCAGTGATGATCAGCACATCATCGTATTGGGAATACGCCGCCCTCGGAGCTGCTCTGGGGACGTTTCAACACAACTTGGACAATCTGTACGTCGTTCTTGGCTCCAAGCCCTCCGGCCCAAAGCCCACACCGACTAGGTCAGATGCGATGTAGACGCGAGACGCTGCCTGCAAAGCCCTCGGCGGGCTTCACATGCGTATTCGACCTATGCCTGGCCACGACGTCCGGCCGGAGCACCAATAACCCCAAGAAAATCCTACATACAGTCCGCAACCTCGTTGGATTTCGAAACCGTGCTACGACCCCAGACGCGGCTACATCTTGAGCATGGCGCAACGAGGTGCCACCCGGGGAGGCGTGCAGGTCCGCCGATGTTGCGGAGGAAAGCATCCAGCTTGGAATCTCCGCTGGACACGAGTAGTGTATTTGCGTACCCAGCTCTGACACTGTGACTCAAAGTTTGTGTTCCTGCTTGCTAGGCGACCCAGAGATATACTCAGGTATGACCATGGCCTTTCCCGTTCACCGCGCTCTAGCCCCTCGTTGGCGCCCCGGCGCGCGTCATGGCGGGGCCGCAGCGTGAAGTTCCTCGGCTCGCTCGTTGCGCCGACGGACCCGGCGCGCGTCGGGGCCGTGCCGATCACGGGGACGGAGACGTTAGACCGGTGCGATCCGGGCCGCGGCTGGGCTGGCCAGTGAGAAAGTTTAGGTTGATGGGGGGGGGGAGAGAAGCTCTGGACGTTGCTTCGACGAGGAGAGCCCGGTCAGGTTGTCATTAGGCCGTATGGTGAGTAAACGGTTGTGGACAGGAGGAGAGGTGTGATTTTGCGTCGAAAGTCTTCAGGTCTCCGTGTCATGCATAGAGTCGAGCGGAGTAGACTTCCGACTTGATGCAGTCATGGTGCTGGGGCTTCTCGTGGAATCATCGCTTTCGACATGTTGAAGCCTTTGGACCATTCCACGGGGATCTCTGGTGGTCTATTATAGCGTGGAATGTTCCAACATTTGATGAATGCTATGCTTGTAGAATTTTCTTTTCGCGAGGAAACTCTTGATGAACGATCCATGTTTGTGAAGCACGAGTGATGTCGATGAGGGTGGATGCTTGAAGCTCAGCCGGAACTATGCATCTGCCCAAGATGCCCCACCAGATTGCCCCACTGCCCACATAAGAGCACACAGTAAGGCGGGCACCTAAGGTAGGTAGGTATGTAGGTAGGTACAGTGGGGAGACTAAAAGAACGACGGATTTTTGTTGTGAGAAATACTGATTGAGCTTTCAAAATACTATGATAAAATAAATAAAATAGCTATCAGTAATCTGAATAAGAGACGCTATAGATTCAGTAAAGTTCTAGAAGTATTATAAAAATCATCATTTATAGTGATCTATAGAATAAGCAATAGAGGCTAGAAAACTATGTGTTTTTGTGTGGAAACGGAAATCCGTCGTTTTTTTTGTCGCATGACTGTACCTACCTAGAGGAGGCTACAAGCCCCTCCACAGACGGCGGGGAGCTCCAACCTCGACCTCAACCTCAACTTGAACGTCAGGCTTCCACCATCAACACCGCACACCACCCACCATGGCCCAGCCAAAACCCCCCTTCGTCTTCCCCCGCGAATACTCCTTCCCCCCCTTCTTCACCCGCCAGACAAACCTGACAACCCACCACGCCCAGCTCGAGAAGTGGTCCGCCCTCATCCTCGCCTACACGCAGCACCACCGCATCTTCAAGCTGACGCCCCCCTCGGCCGCCTCGTCCTCGACCGCCGCCGCCGCAGCAGACCCCAGCCTCTCGCCGACCGCCGCAGCGGCCCACAGCACGCACAATACGGACGACCTGTTCCACAACAAGGCGCTCAACCGCCGCCTCGCGCCCGCCGACGCGCGCGAGGTCCTCGACGCCATGCGCCGCGACGGCCGCGCCGAGACGGTCGCTCGGGACGGCGACGCCGTGTGGGTGTACTGGCGTACGCCCGAGGAGTGGGCCGCCCTCGTCGAGGCGTGGGTCGACGACACGGCGCAGAAGGGCGTGGTCGTGACGCTGTATGAGCTGACGGAGGGGGATACCTCCATCGGCACGGGTGCGTCCTTGTTTTTCTTCTTCCCCTGAGGTAGTGCCCTTTTGACAATACGTTGACGAGGCCTCGGGGAAACAGAATTCCACGGCATGGACCCTGATCTCCTGCTCAAGGCGCTGCAGGTCCTCGCCAAGCGGGGCAAGGCGCAGGTCTTTGGCCAGGACGACTCGCTCGGTGTCAAGTTCTTCTGAGGCGACAGGTCTGGGGGCGAGAAGAGAGAAACATGCAGAGCAAAACGGCCTTCAGAACGACGTGCTGAGAACGGCATGTTTAAACCGGTCTTCAGAACGGCGTACTGAAAACGACATGTTTAAAACGGTCTTCAGAACGGCGTACTGAAAACGACATGTTCAAAAACGACATGACACAATACGGACGTGAAAAAGACGACCGCGAAAAAGACGACCGCGAAAAAGACGACCCGCAAATCAGCCCAGGCCTCGTCCATCCCGGAGGGCTGCGCGCAGCCTGACATATCCCTACAAACACCTCGACGCCGAGTTCATGCACATGGCCACGTAATCCCACACCCATTCCCCTTCCCCCCTCCCTGTCCCCCTCATCCTTCCTGCAAGCAGACACATACCCAATCAATGCTTGAAAAAGTTGACGGCGAGATACTTCTCGTCAAACGAAACACGCTGCGTCATGGCCACGTCCAGCAGCCAGTCGGCCGCCACGATCCGCGGCTCCATGTGGCCCCGCTCCGCCATGGCCTCAAACTTGGGCCACAGCTTCTTCTCCTCGGCCGTGTCCGACGTGAGCAGGTACACCGGGTCGGGCGCCGCGCCGCCGTCCTCCTCGGCCGTCGTCGGCTTGATCGTCGTGCCGCTGCGCGCGTTGTACGTCAGGAACTGCGCCCCGTTGGCCTGCACGATGGGCTGGAAGCTCTCGGGCCCGTTGCGGATCCCCGACGTGCAGTAGATGGGCAGCCCGCGCAAGAGGTTGCCGTTGTTGGCGCGCGCGCGCGACACGGCCGTCTGCAGCGAGACGCCAAACTTGGCCTCGTTCTCCTCGTCCACGAGAATGTGGTCCTTGGGATCGGGCGCCGTGCCGTCCGTCAGCGCCGTCTCGATAAAGTCGGACGACAGGATGGTGACGCCCTTGGCGAGGGTGCGCAGGAACTTGACGGTGCGGACCATGAATGGCGCCGCCAGGTAGTCGCACGGTTGGTTCTCGGAGACGATGTGAATGCCGAGCTCCCGTAGTTTCCTCTGTTCCCAGATTCAGCATTCCCAATACAAAAGCACACATGTCCTCGAACCCCAGGTTTTCTCGCCCGGAAAAGACTCACCTTTTCGACGTCCTCCTTGTGCTTGTCGTTGAGCCATCGCGAGAAGCCCGTCAGCATGACCTTGATGACGCCGTCAGGCTTGGACGACCGCCGCCTCTTGGCCGCGCGCTTCTCCGCCACCTCGTCGTCCGCCTGCGCCGGGCTCGACGTCCGGGCCGCCTGGTCGCGATCGAGCATGTCGGCCGCGCGCTTGCCGCCCCACATGCCGTCCTTGCTCTTGCGATTCTTCTCCTTCTCGTACAGCGCAATGTCGGGCGCGATGCGCTGCAGGTTGCTCAGCGCCTTGCTCTTGGCGCTGCGGCCGCCGGTCGACCGCGCCGTCGGCGTCTCGTTCTCCTTGCCGCGCACGGGCATGTTCCGCGCGGGCGTAGCGAACGGCTCGTCCCCCGGCGGCGCCGACACGCCAAACTGCTTGCGCGTCTTCTCGGCGTACTCGTCCGCCTCGTCCTGCAGCACGTCAAAGTCGCGGTGCTCCTGGCGGCCGATGACGGCGCCCTCGGCGGGGCCGCTCTTGTAGGCGTTGTCCTGGGCGGCGTCCAAGATTTTGCGCTTCTTCGCGGCCCGCGGCGACGACTTGCGGACGGCCGCGCCGCCGGGGTAGAACTTATCGCGCAGCTGCGCCTCGTCGAAGAAGGTCTGGCCAATGATCTCGCCGAGGTTGGTGCGCGGCGGAAAGTGCGCGTACTTGCCGACGGTGACGGGCTGCTTTTCGCACTTGGCGTAGCTCTCCTCGATCCACAGGTGGTTGATCGTCTCGATGCCCCAGTCCTGGCGGCCTCGTACCTTCTCGGAGCTGTGCGGGCCGAGATGAGATGCGTGTTCTCCGTAATCATAGTATAGGTATACGTGGCGCCGCACGCCTTGATGAGATTCTCGAGGTAGATGAGGGACTCGCCGCCGTAGTTGGAGACGCAGATGCGCAGGTCCTGGAACCCGTCGATGCCGCCCCGGGGCACGGGGTAGTGCAGCAGGCGGCGCAGCGGCGACGTCCACTCGTTGCGCGAGATGAGGTGCATCAGCCACGCCAGGTTGCCGACGTCCTTGCCGAGCTGGGCGGCCTTGATGTAGTCTGGACCGTCGCGGTACTGGCAGATGTACATGTCGCAGTCCTCGACCTGGGCGACCATTTGGCCGCCACCCTGGGTGATGCGCGAGCGGCATATGGCGTGGGCCTTTTTGGTAATGTTGAGATCGCTCGAGATCATGACGGCCTTTCCTTGAAAGATGGTGGACGGCTCGACGTGTCCCTTGACGGGCGGGAAGCTTTCGGGGCTGGGATTCGCGTCGGTGGCGCCCTCGAGGTTCTTCGTCTCGGGGAAGCCAATGTCGTCGCTGGGGTCGGCGAGGAGGATCTCGGGATCCGGCAGGAGGTAGGGGGTTTCGTCGATGCGCTTGCCGAGCTTGAAGCAGTCCTCGAACCTGTGAACGTCATGAGCGTGATGCGTCGGGATCAGTGGGGCGTCGGGAAGAAGAGGGGGGGTAGGACGCCTTTCGGGGCAAAGAAGAGGAGTAGAGGGGGGGGGACGCCTCTTGCGAGAGGATTCTTTCCGTACCAGTGTGGCAGCACGATTTTGACCTTGAGCTTCTTCTGCAAGGCCATCTGGCACTTGGGGTGGTCCATGGTCAGGGCGCAAATGTGCGTCGTCAGGCGCGACACGTCGGGCGACTCCATGCCGCCGAGGGCCAGGGTGGCGCCGATGATGGTCTCCTTGTCAATGACGGGCAGGTCGGCGCACGACAGGGTGACCTGGGAGAAGATCATGCGGGGGTCGGGCGAGTGAGGGCGGACCTGGGCCTGCTTGCCGCGGTGCAGCGACGAGGAGATCCACTGGTGGGTGACGACGGGGATCATGTAGGCTTGGCTGTCGGTGAACTGCCTGAAATCGATCGTGTTGGAGATGATGTGGGTGACATCCTCCTCGATGCGGATGGAGCCATCGTCGGCCGGTTCCAGGACGGTGCCGCCATGCTTCTCGAGGATCTGGGTGAAGGAGCTGATCTGGGTCGGTGTGAGCAGCGAGCTCGGGACAAAGGCGAATGTGCATTCGCCAAAGAGGGGTGCCATCTTCGAGACGAGACACACAAGAAGGGGGACGATCGATGCCTGGGAGATTGCCAATGGCAGGACGTCGAGAGGTTGCGAGCGTGGTCAGGCCGTTGGGTCGCGATGCGGATGATGGGGGGGTGAAAGAAAAAAAAAAAACTGTCTCGGTGCATGCAGCAGGGTCAAGGAGTTTGAATTGCTGGCACGCTCGCAGGCTGGCTCGAGTCGAGGTTCTGACAGGGGACGGCATAGATTTGTTTAGGCGACGACGCGGTGGAAATGGGGCCTGGACCGTGTTCGTGCCAGCGGGGCGCGGCGCGACGCGAAGTCGAGGCGGGTGGTCACGTGGGCGATGGTGCACTTAAACTTCCCTGCAGGCGCCTGTGTGCTAGGTGGTCAGGTACCTTACCTTACCTAGGTACCTACCTTACCTACCTAGATACCTTAAGGTAGCCTTGCTCAGGTAGCCTGGTGTCTGGCAGCCTTTCCCTCTGCCTTGCCTTGCTGTGCCTGCGAGGTACGTCCCCAAGGTTCCTCCCAGGCGATCGGCCGCCCACGGACCAGAACTCTGGAAAATCGGACCACGCCTTCCCATTGACGCGTGTCCAGGGAAGCAGGCTGGACGGCTTCATCTGGTGTAGCACATGTACCTCTGCAGTATGGAATGATGACAGGAAGCTCATCATTTGAGAGCACGAAATCCAGAATCGATTGACATGCTGTATCACCACCTGAAGCCAGTGTCTAATACAAGATCACTCATCGCGTTGGGTCCCTCAAGCTGCATGCCATGCATCTACAATTCCGATCAAGCCAAGCGCCCACGATGCTCCAGTCCACCCACCAAGCTGTGCAGCACTTCCACGATCATTCGGATTCGCTCGTACTACAAAACTGAATTCCACTCAAAGCCTCGTGTCCGCACCCTTGACGTCTGCGCCACGCAGGCCCTGGACCCCGGCGCCCAAGCTTCTGCCTCCCCTCCGAAACCCTGAACCCGAATGCGAGCCTCAACTTTTGCCCACCCTCACGTTGACCGCCCTGACAGCATCGAGCCACCTCCGCTTGCCCTGCCGACTTGGCTCTTCCATTCTTTCGTCCCTTTGTGTTGAAGCGATTCCTTGTGATACCCCCGGATAGAGGAAAGAAATCCCCCCAGAAGAGGAAAGCAAAAGAGGCAGTGAACAATGGCTGCACCTTGGAGCAAGGCGCAGAGCCACGAGCAATTCTTCGTCCTCATCACAGGCGCAAACAGGTACGTTCCCTTTTGCGTCACGCCTGACAATCCCAAAGCTTCGACGCAACAAGCCCAACAGTGCTAACATGCCGACAGTGGCGTCGGGTTCGGTACGGCAGAGCGCATCATTGACGAATTCCTCGCCTCCCGCTCTCTATCCTCCCACCTCATCCTCATCCCCACGACCCGCGACCTGCGCAAGTCGCGGGAGACGGTCGAGTCCCTGCGAACCCACCTCCACAAGACGGCGACGACCTCGAAAGCCCTCGCCGCGCGCGCCGGCCCCTCCTACAAGCCGCAGGACACCATCGACCGCGTCCACCTGCTCAGCGTGCAGCTCGACCTGCTCGACCTGCGGAGCCCCTATGCCGTCGCCCGCCAGCTCGTGCACGGCACCGTCGGCGACCCCACCGACGCCCACAACACCCAGTACAAGGTGCCGCGCCTCGACGCCGTCATCCTGAACGCCGGCATCGGCGGCTTCAAGGGCGTCGACTGGTTCAAGCTGGCATGGCGCTTCCTCACCCGCGGCATCGTCTACATGTGCTGCTTCCCCGACTACAAGATTGCCATCCCGGGTCTCCTGGCGCCCCAAAAGCCGGCTCGCCCGGATGAGGTACGCAGCCCTTGATGTCCCTTCACCGAGATATGCGCTGACACATCCGTGCACAGCCCGCCCCTCCGCCCGTGGGCCAGGTCTTCTGCGCCAACGTCCTCGGCCACTACATCCTGACGCACGAGCTCATGCCGCTGCTGAGCCGCGACCCCGCCACCGACGACGGCCTCCCCGCCGGCCGCATCGCCTGGACGAGCAGCATCGAGCCCGTCAGCGACTCGCTCGACCTCGCCGACTTCCAGGGCATCCGGAGCGCGGACCCCTACGGCAGCTCGAAGCGCATCACCGACCTCCTCGCCCTGACCTGTCGGCTGCCGGCGGCGCAGCCGTACGCCGCGGGCTTCTTCCAGGTGTCCGCCGACGACTCTGCCTCGGAGCAGACGAAGACGAAGACAAAGACGAAGACGAGGCAGGGCCCGAAACCGACGGGAACGACGAGGACGCCGCCGTCCATGCTCGTCACCCACCCCGGCATCGTCCACAGCACCTTCTTCCCCGTGCCGGGCTTCCTCGTGTCCCTCTACTGGCTGGCGCTGCTGCTGGCGCGCTGGTGCGGCTCGCCCTGGTTCCCCGTCGACCGCTACCGCGGCGCCAAGGCGTCCGTGTGGGCCGTGCTGCAGGACGACGACGAGCTCGCCGAGCTCGACGCCTGCGCCATCAAGTGGGGGTCCGCCGCCGACGCCCGCGGCCGCACCTACGTCAAGAAGACCGAGGTCGAGGGCTGGGGCTGGGAGGGCCGCGTCGAGGACGACGACGCCCTGCGCAAGGACCCGGCCGTCGGCGTCCTGCGCAAGCTGCGTGGCCGCAGGCCCACGGCCGCCGTGCTGACGGCCGAGGCGCGCGACGAGTTTGAGGAGACGGGCGCGCGGTGCTGGCGCGAGATGGAGAGGCTGCGCGTCTTCTGGGAGGCGAGGCTCGGCGTGCGGGGGCCGGCGGCTGGGCTTGGCGCTGCTGATGGGCATGGTGTCGGCAGGTAACGGGTGGGGCATGGTGTCAGCAGGCGGGTGTGCCATGTACATGTCAGTGGGTGAATGAAGAGAAGGCTCTTCCAACTGATGACCTCTGGTAGAGCTACGGCACGCGGATGACGAAAATACGCAGAGTCAAAAGAAGGACGGCAGCAGCGAGCACACGGGGCATAACAGGGTATCGACTTGTATACTAGCTAATCAGATCACCAACCTCGTCATCTTCTCCCCCGGCTAGCCTGTCGGATTCAATCCACTCCTCCCAGAAGACCTCCCAAAACACATTCGCTCACGCCGACAACGCGGCCGTGTCCGATCGGACGCGCCGCAGGCTGACTTTATCAGCGCGGCCAAAGAGACCGAGGCACAACGGCAGCGGCGCGACGAGCAGGGCGACGACGGCCTGGAAGACGAGGGCCTTCTTCATGTGCAGGGGCGGGTCGGCGTCGGGGCCGGCCTGCAGGGCGTCGGAGATGAGGATGAAGCAGCCGCCGAGCAGCTGGCCGCCGGCCCAGGCGAGGACGCTCGTGACCTCGGGGCTGATGGGGTGGCTCATCTCGGAGAGGAGCTCGAGGGCGACGGGGACGAGGGCGAAGCTCGCGGCGCCGAGGAGCGAGAGGACGGCGTAGGGCCCGGCGACGGCGCGCGTCTCGGGCATCCAGACAAAGGCGAGGTAGGCTGTGGCGATGAGGGGCACGGCGCACTTGATGGACGGCAGGAAGGCCTTTGTGCGGTCGAGGATGGGCGACGTGATGGCGGCGACGACGAGGCCGACGACGATGAGGAGGGCGCCGCCGATGCCGGCCTCGTCGTCGGAGAGGCCGTAGGGGTTGAGCATCTGGTTGAGCAGCGACGAGCACGAGTTGAAGAAGCCGACGTAAAAGGCAAAGGGGATGAGCAGGAGCCAGAGCTCGAGGGAGCGCGAGGCGGTGCGCAGCGAGGCCACGAGGGGCAGCTTGGACGTCAGGGCCGAGGCCGAGGCCGGCGTCGGCGGTGCGGCGGGGATGAAGAAGGCGGGCAGCGCGCAGACGGAGGACTTTTGTGTGCTTTTGGTCAGCACGACTAGGCGCGCCAGATGCAGGAGAAGGGGAGATGCAGGAGAAGGGACTCACAATGATGGAGACGTAGAGCACGCCTTGGGACATCTGCGACGGCTTCTCGACCATGAAGGGCACCACGAGCTGACCGATGGCGGCTCCAAAGGGGTTCGCCAAGCTCATGAGAGCAGTGGCGCCGACGCGGCCACGGTTCGAAAACCACATGTCCGAGTACCGAGTCGGCGCCGCCAGGACAAAGGGCTGGGCGAGGCCGGTCAGGATCTGGCCAAACATGACGACGCCATAGGTGCCCCCTCTGCTCGAATGCGATCCGGCGTAGCGCACCCAGTTGCCGATAAGCACGAGGGCGGCGGCGACCATGATGGAGAGCTTGGGCCCCATGTGCAGGATCTTGATGGTCACGGGCGAAACGACGACAAAGGAGAAGAGGAATGCCGTCGAGAGCCAGTTGATCGACGTCTCGGTCACGTTGTAGTAGGTTGCGGCGCTCGAGGCGACAGGCGCAAAGGTGAGCCACTACCGTCACGAGGTGCGTCAGCCATTGATTGCTCTTGTATGGAGAAAATCCATCTTCCTGCAGGTGCGGCTCCCTTCTCATTCGTTGCCTTGTCAGGGGGAAACGGAGAGAAGAGAGCGACAAGGTGGTCTCGCCAAGCTGTCGGTTCGACTTGTCACACAGCCTTACGGCCAGCAGCGCAGCTGTAGGGCTGAGAGGTGTGGGTGTGGGAGTGGGTGGAATGGAACGACGACGACTTACATCCCAGCTCACAATAATGTTGAGCATTGTCAGCTGTGCGACGCCGAACCAGCGGCGGCGATAGGTGCGGTAGTCTGTGACCTGGCCGTCGGCGATGCTGTCGCGACCATCACGGTCGAGATGGAGGTCATCCTTGTGGACGGCGGATGATTGGGTGGCGCGCAGCTGGAGCTCGATGGTTTCGCTCTTGTCGGCAAGACTCAGCGAGTTGTCGCTGTGACGGCCTGGAGCGGCGGCCATCTTGTCGTCTGGCGTCGTGGAATTGTTGGTGGAAGAAGTCACGATGGCATTGTCGTCTGAGGTGGGTTGATGTTGGGGAGTGGACGAGAGGAGACCCATGGTGCCTGAGACGATGCGAAAGCGAAGCCCACTGTACTGGGTTTGGTCCAGGGGTGCCAAGGATACGCTGGGGGTGGATCTTTCAGGGACCTGCTAGGGTGTGTCCGTGCTGGATGGGTACCTGGTAGGCAGGTAGGTGGGTGGCAGGACCTGGGGAGGACCTAGGGAGGACCTAGGCAAGACCTAGGCAGGACCTAGGGAGGACCTAGGCAGATCCTAGCGAAGGGCCCGTTCGTAAGGCGTGACAAGCTTTGATGGGATCAAGGGGAGCAATGCGAGAGGAGGCCATCAAGCAGTGGCCTCACGCGACAGAGTTTGGGCGTTTGTCCGTAAAACTCCGAAACCGAAACACAAAAAGAGCAGAATTCTCAACCCAAACATGAAAAGGTGAATCGAAGAGAAAAGGGGGGGACATGGCGGGTAAATAAGACAAGGGAAATCTTGGATGATAAGCCCTCTCGCCTACCACCTACCTTGGTACCTACCTCACCTACCGACCTTCCTACATGTATCCGCGCCGCAAGACCTCACCTCGAACCGACCCTCCCTCCATCAACCCTGGTCCCCCCAGCTTCACCTGCAGCTTCAACCACTGCTACTACTCCTGTCGTTGGGCCCAGAGCCAGACCGTGTGCATCGCTGTGCACCATTCGACCCCCCTCACGCGCCCTATCGCCAACCCCCAAGGATGCGTCCCCCCCTCACAGCAATCCCAGCCGAGACCTGTCGCCAAGGTCAGAAGGGCCTAGCTCGTCGCTCGATTGGGACACACGGTCCGTCGACGTCGCATGGGCACGACGACAAGCCGCGGCATGGCGCTCCGTTCTGGGTCGACATGTGGAGAGCCGTTTTGCTGTCTCTGGATCTGCGGGGGAGAGACAAGGGGGGGTCATATGGCCTATCTCGTGCCTCGACCACCTGTGCGCCGCCCCACGGCTGTCGGCACATCGACTGACGTCCTTGGAACGGACGGTACTGATCGGCGGCGATGATCGTTGATAAGAGTCGAGAGCCGCACGAGCCGAGGGGGGAGCAAGAGGAGACGGGGTTGACGAGGCCTGCGTCGATTTGGTGTCTTTGAACGCTATCGTGATTGCGCCTGCAGAAAGTCACTCTCCTAAAAAAGCAGCCAACGTTCTGATGGCTGGACTGACAAACCGTTGGGCGGCAGAGCTATCTGCCGTGGCACATCCATGTCACCCTCTGCTTCTGAGGCCTCGAGGCCATGTCGTCTCGTTGCTCGGGAGGCAAGGTTATATGGAAAGCTACGTCGAGTCTGCATTGCTACAGACTTGCAACCGTCAACCTTCCATGGTGAAGGAGCTTTCATATCTGCGCTCGGGTTGATTGTTATGCCATGCGCGTGCCGCGCATATCATGACCGATCTCTCCATCATCATGACTCCGAACAGCCGACATATCACGCATCCTGGCGTATGCAACAGGCTTTCCAAATACTGATCACAGGTATTTTCAGTCTATTTGTGACACTATCCACTGTTCATTGAGATACTCCCAAAAGTTTCATCACATGGAAAAAGCAGGTTTGACGATCTAAAGCCAGCCAGCTCGTACTACACCAGACGGTGCTGATCAAATTATCAAGCATCAGACTGCCCCCCGACAAAGCTGCTCGCTGGCGGCCCGAGATAACTCGCCTGCAGCCCACCTGCATCCACCACAATCTTCTCCAAGTTCAGCTCGTTGCTCAAAGGACGGTAGCGTACGATATGAGGTCCAGAAAGGTCACCTGTCAGTGTGAATTCGTGCTGTCGGGTCCAGACCCCGTTCATCACGGCATCGGCCCAGCCCTTGGGCAGATCGCCTCGCCCAGGGCTATCCAGCAGCTGCACGCCCGTGTTCTCGGCGCCGTCAAACGCAATGTCATACTTGATAGGCGTGTCGGGGCGAACCTCGAGGACAGTGGTGAAGTACAGGGTCACGGACACAGTCTTGGGCTCCGAGAACAGGTAAATCGGATACTCGAGGTATGGTGCCGCCTCCGGGTTCGCCGTCAGCTGAAGTGTTACAGACCCACGCTCTACGCGGCCGAGCTTGGGAAGCTGGCGATACACCTTGACCAGAGACGCATCGAGGTGCGCAGCGCCGGCCTCGATCGAGACGGTGCCCGCGGCTTCGACGAACGCTTTCTGGCCATCCGGAACCCTGCGGCTGTCTACCGGCAGATGGAGTCGCTCAAAGTATCCGGCAACCGACCGCACGCTGATGGGGACCACGCCCCGGAAGTCTTTGGGCGCGGTATCCCAGTTGATCGTGACCTCGACCCGCGCATCCTGCTTATCGTCGGGCAGCAGTGTGCCGCTCGCCGGAGACGCCTGGATCCAAGACTCGCTGGGTTCAACAGTCCACTCAATCTTCTCGATGCCACGGGCGAAGATCTCAAAAAAGTAGCTCTGAGGCCCGTACGGGCTGAGCTTCGGCAGCGTGAAGCCCGGCACGAGGTTGCCTGTCGAAGGGTGTGTCCGGTCGCACTCTTCGTTTGCCAGCCCCGGCCGGACACCGCCGTGGCCCTGCACGGCTACGCCCACTTGGCCGGCGATGCGCGTCGATTTTCGTCGCGTCTGCACGTAGGAAAGCCCTGTGATCATGTCCCTTGTTGGGGCGTGCCATGTGGTGGGATCGTATCCATAGCGCGGCTGGCACATGATGTGGTTCCACTTGTCGCCGAACCACGGGTTGCCGTGATACTCATCTTCGAGGTCATAGTCTTCTTGGAACAAGTCCAAGACACGCTGGGCCAGAACATTGGTCGTGTTGCGTCTCTGCAGGCCGTAGAGCTGGTTCAGCGCTTGCGTCACGCGCAGCTCGGTGCAGATCCGGGATGCCTTGACGGGATGGAGGACGAGCTGATATGCGGCCGCTTTCTGAGCATCGGGCACCGCCTGGAAGATCTTCAGAGCCTGCGACTCCAGAGCCTTCCACCGCTGGACGATGGACTCTGCTTCTCGATTGTGCACGACCGAGAACGTGTCCGTGTCGATATGCTCGTGACGGCGCAGCCCGACGAGACGATCGTGTCCCGCGAGCACGTCTGCGATCTGCTGCGCATGGTCTGGCCCGAATTCTCTGAGTGCGTAGGTTGAAAAGTAGGATGGAATGGCGGAATGGTCCACCGAGTTGATGTTCCACGCCAACGACAGTGCAAAGCTGCTCGACGCTTCCATGGGCTTGATGTCGCCGACGTTGAACACCCAGACGCGGTCAATCCCGCTGGCATAAGCGGCCCTCAGTTGCTGTTGAACTTTGCCCTACAGATTGTCAATGCATGCCTCCCAAGCAAAGCGTATCACCAGCCGCACGAATCGACCCGGGGTCCGTCTTACCAAGGAAGTGCAGTGAAGCCACTTGTAGCTTCGTGGATGGCCCACGTACTCAAGATGATAGTAAAGCTATCGCGGCAAGTCAGATTCTGAAGCTCTGCCAGCCACACATGAAACTCAACTTACACCGGCGCCTCCGCTTCTCTTCCTCTCCTCCTCCGTCGGATACCTACGAACGTTGCCAAAGTTATCGTCGGCGAACAGCAGCGTCACGTCCTCCGGCACCTTCAGGCCCTTCTCGTACATCTGCAACGCCTCCTTGTACAAAGCCATCAGTTCTGTCGGACGGTTAGCGACGGCCCGACACCGCAGGCTCTTGCGCAAAGGCTTGACTCACGCGGCGTCCCGTCTGGCGTCCCGTGCACACGCTCGATCATCTCCCGCTGGCTGTCGAGGACATCCTGCAGCGTGCCCTGGGGATCCTCTGCGATCATCTTCTTGTCGCCCTCGCCGCGCATGCCCATCGTGATGACGGACTCATAGGGCTTGGCGCGCTCGATGCCCGTTTCAAAATGCTCGGCCACGGCCTGCTTGTTCGTCTCCCAGGACCACACGCCCTTGTTGGCGGTTCTCCACTCGGTCATGTCCCGCTGCATGGGCTCGTGGTGAGACGTCGACATGACGATGCCGTACGTGTCAGCGAGCGGCTGGTTCAGGGGGTCATCAGTGAAGAAGGAACTCCCGGGCCACGGGAAGCCGGACCACATTGCAGGCCAGAGAAAGTTGGCCTACGATGCATGCTCGTTAGTGACGGGGGATACGAGAAAATGAAGGACACGGAGCGTGGGGATCTCTACCTTCATGCGCAGCAGCAATTCGAACACTCGCTTGTAGAACTCTGAGCCGTAGTTCACGCCGTACTTGTCGTGCACCCAGGCGGTGAGGGCCGGCGCCTCATCGTTGATGAAGATTCCGCGGTACTTGACGCTTGGTTCGCCGTGGATGGTGGGCTCAGACACGGCATACACATGCGGGTGCTTCTTGATGGGAACATCGGCCCACCAGTACCATCTTTTCTACACGTTAGCCGGGAACAAGTTCTTTTCATTTGGTTCTTGCCAAGGCGAAAGAAGCAGAGCAAGAGGCCCTCTAGATTCCGGGTCCGCACATACGGTGACACGCCAGCCTGCTCGGTCAGGGTATAGCTCGCGAAAATGGCCCCGCGCTTATCGCTGCCGGCGAGGACAAAGACGCGCCTCGCAAAGGCCCACGGGCTGTCCTCGACGTGGGTCGAAAACGTCTCCCACCTGCCCTCGAGCGACCGAACCCGCCGCGCGCCCTCTCGGCCGAGCGCCCTGAGGAACGCGCACCTGGCGAGGCTGCCGACGAGGATGACGCCGTCCACGGGTCTCTGCCCTTCCGTCGTGGTCAGCAGCGCCGAGGGCTTGCCGGTGACGGATTCGAGATCGCGGGCGAGGTTCCGGATGGCGATCTGGGTTCCCTCGAACTCGTCCTTGTCGAACAGGACCGGGAGGCCGGCGAGGTCGAGGGCGCCGTGCGCGGCGTCGAAGCCGATGATGGGTGTCTCGAACATGGGCGCCTTGCAGGGAAAACTTGATGCACGAAAATGTAATAAATGCCACCCTGGATAGCGATCAACGAGAGTCGCTACAGCAAAGCAGGCAGCACAATCAGCAACCGATGCTTCGTGGCCACGGG